TCACCACGAAAACCAGACCTCTCTCTGGTGGGGGGGGGGGGGGGATGACACACCTTCCTTCATTTAGAAATGCTTTTGGTGGTTGTAGCTAAACCCCTGAATCAGAAGATACTGAATCAGAAGCTACTACACCCAATGCAATATAGAAACACCCTTTCGCTGGATTATATAGAACACAACAAGCAAAGATTGTCACCTTGTCTGGCTATTTTTTTTTTTTAAGAAAAGGCACAATTTGTTACATTTAACTCATTTAAAAACATGTCCAGCAGGATCCATATCCTGATGCCCTCATAAGACATCACATCAGGAAGTGAGGTCACAGACCACTCCCAGAGCCGGTACCCTCCAACCTCCAACAAACCTGTGCAGCCGGTCAGGTTTTACCAATTTGGCCAGAGTTACCCATGCACTGATCATATACAAGTTGGGCTGCTATAGTGTGCAGCACACAGGGCTGCTTTCGAACACTGGCTGAAAGCTTCAACTGGTTCGGAATACAAAGGCAACACTGCAGGCAGGTATGAGTGACTACGTCCCTCCAGTTTTAAAGATCTTTACAGGCTGCCAGTTTGCCTCCAGGCACAATTCAAATTATCACCGTGAATATGTCCATGATTTGGGACCAAAGTACTTGAAAGGCCAGCTCCTGTCATGTAAACCTGCTCATCAATGTCCTCAAAGGCCCTGTTCCACAGGCCCTCACACATTTCAGAAGTAAGATGGATGAGGAGGCTTCCGGTTTATGGTGACACGCAGGCAGACACATCTCCCAGATGTCCTGGGGATGTAAACTGCACACCAGCGTGTGGGAGGGGGTCCAACGGGTCGTGACCCCCCCGGAGCCTTGGTAAAAGGCTCCCAGCCAGGGGGCTTTTGAGGGGCGACCTCTTCGATGGCCGAAAGCCAGAGAATTGAGGCGCCCCTCCACCCTGAAGGTCCTGCCGCTGAGTGACCGCATGGTACGAGTGCTGCTGACCAGGACAAGCGTTGGAGATCGGGCGAAATAAATGATGACGAGCGAGGCCGAATGGCCAACAACGAACTGTGAGTTGGGTTGAAGCGAGCATGAAGATATAAAAAGAAGCTCCCCCCCCCCTAAAGAGCAAAGGGAAAGTGAGCAAGGGAGGGGTCCCTCCCAAACGCATAGACGGAACACAGAAGGAAAGAGGAGGGAGCAGAAAAATAAGGGATTAAAACTGTTTTAAGAGACTTACCAGAGCACAGAAAAGCGTCCGGGCGAATATCAGAGACTTTAGCAACTTTTTTGAAAAGTAAACAAATCCAAAAAGCTGGCGGGGAAGAAACCGGAGAAAGAGAAGCTGTTGAAACCGAAACTAGGGGGCAGTCCTCGAACAGATGAGGTCACTGAGCT